ACTTTTGGCCTTTGACATTAAATCTCTATTCGGTCTGTTCTGTTCTGCGCCAACTTTCTATGTAGAGACCACGCAGCAGGTCCTTAGCGCCTTCGTCTTCCCAGCGGTATCTCAGAGGTTCTCGAGTGGCAACCACGGGCTGGAAGACGTAGTGTGGGCAGGCCTTCATCTAGGTGGAACGACGATCTGGTGAAGATCGCTGGAAGTGACGATGTGGGCGTGGTGGCGCGCGGGCAGAAGCTGTGGGTGCGCGGCGTGCCCGCGCATACAACGTGCAACGTTACAAGATGCGCCTGAAGGTACACACACAATTTGAATCTTTGGTGTTGGGCCCAGTTTTCATCCAGTTTTCCTGCGGATCTCCTCATTTCCTTGTGTACTTCGATAACGCAGGGAAATTAGGAGATTCGAGGAAACTCAAAGTAACCAACGTAGCCTGCAGAAGTGCCAAACTTAAGTGGCTATATTACTCCGTAGATGAGGTCTAGACCAAAAAATCGTTTTCATCAGCCTGATTAGAACACAAAACCCAGACTTCAAAAGTCAACGTTCATTGTTATAAAATAATTAATTAGCACTTCGTTATTCGGAGTCCAAACGTCGGACCCTCAGATCATAGAAGGGAATAGATGTGAAACGGGGGCGTGACGCGTGTCTCCGCGATATGCCCAGAAACGAACATCGGCCGCGTAGCTAGGTTAGTCGCGATTCAGTCGTACTAAGGAAATGTTCTCCGATATTTTGGATAATGCGTCGTTACGTGCAATAAAACAAGTGAAACGAAGAACTACAGGAACAATGGAGTCATTTACTACATGTAAGTATTGCAAATCCATTGGTATTTTGCTTATAAATAAAAAAAACTAAACATTTTCACGAACGAATTCAGTGCCGTAACAGTTACTGCGATATCGATATCAGTGGTGATAAAAATTCTAACACGCTTGTACATTGACGATTTAGTTAGCAACCACTTTATGTCATGCTCAACTACTGCGCAATGTATTTAATTTCTTCCGATATCCACTGTCGTGTGAAAATACACAGTACGGCCGCATGTGCCGGTCGTAACATAGTGCCGTGCTCGTGTTCTAATGCGGTTTCCTATTATCGATAAATAGAAGTAAATTATAATTTTCTATTTTGTAATTTTAAATAAAAAAATGATGTGTTACTTGCGATTACAAGATTTTACAAAAAAATAATAACAGTAGAAGTAATTAGTAACTGTCAACTATGTAATTACTATAAGAGCTAGTTGAAAGCCTAATATAGGCATTATTTTTGATAAAAATATGCGGTACGCAGATCGCCATAATTAAAAAATAAATGCGTGATATTAGTTAATAATAACGTATAATAATAAAAAGGTTTTCATACATAAGCATTTTGTGAAACCAGTTTCGAGCCTTGCCCCTAGCGATTTAAAGTATCGATATCTTGTCGACTCAATTTTATCTTTGTTCTCTCACTAGCGTTTTCAAAGTGTGCGTCACGTCACGCGGCCATTGATTGGCCATAAGGCACGCCTTCTGGCCAATCACAGCACTTTTAAGCCGGTTGCACATGTTGTCGTAGACTCTCAGTCGCTTTGTTTTTACACAGTTGAATGTGTGTGTGGGAGCTGTGGTGGGGGAAATGTGGGGACACTGGTTCTCGTTGTAGTTACGCGCGACTTCATATCTATTCTCTTTCTATGATCTGAGGTCGGACCGGTCATGGTTTCTTTTTTATTAAGGATTTGCCCAATACAACCGTCAGGTAGCGTGAACGTGAACCCTTTAATTTTTAACGCCGGCAGCAATCGTTTCAATTTGCGTGTCTCGCTTCAACTTGTTGGATATTCAATTCACTTTTGATGAAATTTTAAATTCTTGATCTTACACCCTCCTCTATTTTTAATTTCGCCATATCTCTCGTCATCTATGTAGTTACTGAAAATCAGAGTATTGCCAAATATCAAAGAAGGTAAGTAGGTATCTCTGTCACGATCACGACTAATGCAAAGTGTTGCCACACTTTTGTTGCAATTCAAAAAACTATTTCGTGGCCACTTCAGTGCGTCCAGAGCTTGAGGAAGATGCTTGCTGTATGACGTATTGTAATGCTGAAGATGTCCTTCTCCTTCACATTTCTCGAACTTTGAACTTTATGCCTTCGAATTCAGGTTCCAATTTTGTCCACAGCCGGCAGCGGAGTCTGCGACCCTAACGAGTGGGTGCTGGCAGAGAGGTGGCGAGGGGTGGAGCGACCGTTGCCACCAGATGTGCCGGTACTCCACGTCTTGGCGGCTTGGGGAGACGCTAGGCACGAGGTAACCCACCCCTGATCTCTTATATTGGACCCCTTTTGGGCAAAAAAATCATGTAATTGGCCAAAGCCTTCACTACCAGTCCCTCCCGGCGGCCGGGCCCCACAACTTAATCGTCGTGGGTATGAACAGATGCTCGATATAGTACCTACACCAATATTTGATTTTCATGAGACTCAAACCTGCAACGGTAGTTAGCGTGGTCTAGAGCAGTGTTCCGCAAAGGGTGTACTGCGGCTCAGTGGTGTACCGTGGTTAGATGGTGTGCCTCGGAAAAATAACTTTTTTCAGTAAGTATTGGTAAGACTATTTTTCATGTGTGGTGTGCCATCGAAAAATTTCGTTTCGATGTACCTTGTACACAAAGAATTTGCGGAACACTGGTCTAGAGCGCCACCAGGCTAAGCGGCAGTCATCATCATACAATTTCAGCCTCGTCTACTTAACTGTTAAAGTCTCTGTAAATCATAAAATTCCCATCACGAACCCAAACTTTCCTGAGGCTATAAAGTAGCATTTTATAGCCATTCCCTGATATTATTGCTGACTATCTAAACTTTGATATCCTCTAAAAAGTCCCTCTTAAACCCAATTTTTTCATTTTTTCTTTCTTCATCAGGTCCGCCTCTCCCTCCGAAGAGTATCCAGTGGTGGTGAAGACGACTCCGGCCGAGACAGCGACGGCGGCAGCCGAGCGGCGGGCCGGCGGCGGCGGCGGCGGGGCGTCCGCGCCGGTACCCCGCCGCCTAGAGCGAAGAGCGAAGACCCGGCGGCCAGGCTCGTCTCAGTCATACAGCACCAGAGCAAGACCATACACCAGCAGCTGGATAAGTTGAGGTTGGTGGCTGTTGACTTGGACTATTCACCAAAAAACGTTGCCGAGTTTCCAACTCATCAATTTTAGAACCTGGATACGACTTAAAACTTTGTAAACATTCAATGGTATAGATCGTTTCATCTACGAAGACGCGCCCTACCATTCTTCCGCTAATGTTTGAGTGTTATCCGTACACGATAATTTACCATGAGTGCACACACGCACACTACAATAATGACGCTATGCGATTTGCTCGGATCAAACTCCCCGCACCCTCGACCAAAAATTGTTGGGGCTCGTCTTCGTGGATGAAACGAACTATAATACCGTTTGTAAGAAAAAAGACAGAATTAGAATGATTAGATTCACTCTTGAGTAACAAACAATTTTCTAATTTCAGAGAACAAGAAAAACTCATCGACCAACTCGAAGACCAGACGCACAAGAGTCGGATGGAGAAACACGGCACCAACTATCTCCTGGAATCCTACCTTCGAGACCTGGGCCGCTGCAGCGAAGTCAACGACAGCCAAGCCGGGAACAGCGACAGCGGTGTAGGAGTCGGCAGTGGAACCCCACCCAGACGGCACACCAAGCACAAATCCAGAAGAGAACGGCACCTCATGAGAGAACACTACTTCACGAAAGAACTCACCGACATTTGCCAAGTGAACTCTGAAAGGCTCATGCAGACTCACAACGATACCGACTCCGATGCGTCCGCCGACGAGCTGACCAGGATACGGGAAGAAATCGAACTGCTGGAGAAACTCGCCATTATAAACAAAAGACTGCACCGCGAGGAGGAGTTAGTGGTCCGATTGACGGCGAAAGTGAAGCGATACATGGACGAAAACAAAGCGAACAGCTGCGAAAACGTCACGCAGGTCACGATGCTCATCGACAAGATAGAGGAGGAGTTAGAGAAGACTGCTAAAGAGATGCACGATAACGCGGTGGAGTTAGCGCACGCCGACAAAGAAATAGAAGTGCGGATGAAGTTGCTGGATGAACTGACGCTGGAATTGGAAGAAGAGGAGCTCCAGAACACTGTTCTAGAGAGACAGCTTAACGAGGCGTCGAGCCGACAGCCTATAGTCCTGCAAGATAGCTACGTACCTGTTCTAGACCAAGTCAACGTGTGTCAATTCTCGCACGGCGCAGGCTATGTCTTAGATACCCTTGTATGACGTAAGATTAATACAAAATTCGTCCCAAAGATGTACTGACACTTACCAATTGTAAATATCGCTCTAAAAGATGAGTGTGTTGAATGAACTAAAGATTTGACCACAAAATTGTATTAGAATATTTTGCTTCTCGAAATACTCCAGATTTAAATACACACTCATCACATTGATCTCCCAGGAGGACAGTGATCCAATCCAAAACGAATATACCCCAAAATAAATATTATATCTTGTATTTTTAATGTAAATATTATATCTAACATTTAGACAATAAACTTGGTGCTAAGTAAATAAACAGTAACGTTTAGTTTTACAAATTTATATTCGAGTCTGATGCCAAAAAGTATGACAAAACCACCAATTGCAGTATATTTAGTTAGGCTAGTCAACCCGACATCGGTTTGTCTTTTTTAACTTTTCTTGTGATTTTAACCAATATAGTTATGTAAATAAGTTCTAACGAATATATCGGTGCAATCTTGTTTTTAATGACAAGTTTATGTAATAAATAACATTTTCTTAATTATTCGTCCTTTTCTTACCCCTCTTAGTTAATATCTCTCTTCCTCTTTCGCTCTGCAATAAAGGAATTTAATTTGAGAATCTAGAGTAAAAAAACTAATCAGTGAAATTAGATTAAATTGAATAATAATTTCGCAATGTCTTTATTCGTTCATGTGACTGAAAGAAAAAGGAATATTATATCCTTGCATATTATTACAAAAATCCATTTGAATTAAATTAGCAACTGTATTAATTGGATAGTAAAAGTTTTGATTTCTTTGAAGAGACAGCTCTTCATTGTACAGATGCAATATTTTAGTGTTTAAGAAAAATAAACGATTACAAAGAAACACCTTGTTTTATTGAAGTTAAAATTATACTGAAAATAATAAAAATGCTGATTACACCTTTTTCGCCTTGGCCAGTGCACAGATTATTCCGATGCTATACAAAGTATAATCATTTAATTAAAAACTGACAATATAATTATTATCTATGTATTCTTTATGGCCCATGAGACATTTTTAGTAAACATTTAAATAAGTAAGGCTCGATTCGACCAAACTTTTATCTGAGAATAACTCCTAGAACTGGCACATTGACAGTTTCAGTATTGGAAATATGTCAAAATGTCAATTAACTGACGATTTATTCTGAGATTAATATTTTACTCTTGTTCGGTCGATTCCACCCTAATTTAAATGAAATTTTAAGAATGGTGTTATAGACAAAACATTGGAGAACATAGTTCTTTTATTTAGCTAATTTCGCTAAAAGGAGATTCATGAAGCAATGTGGCATACCCGGGCCTTTCTGAAATCTCATACAAAATTATAAATCCCGGTTAACATTTTACAATGATCATCTGGATATTTAATCCTAATGTGATAAAATGTGAAAGTTTGTTAGGATGGATGGATGTTTAAACCATTCACACTTCACCATTAAATCGATTTTTATGAAATTTGGTTTAGATAGTTAGAAATAACAAAGGATAGTATGGGACTTTTGGATGAGGGATTCGCGCAGAATAGACTTTGTGTCTGAAATTGCGGGCAAAACCGTATGAAAGAGCTAGTACACTCATACAGCACCTATTAACAACCTAAACACTGGCCAAGGCGGTTCTTTGCCGTGAAACGAAAAGAAAGGTAAAAACACCCGCTCCGCGAAACACCATGACGTCATTCCTGATGACCTTTGCTGTTCTTCCGAGGTGTCTTCGGGATTCGGGACTTGAAGACGCTCACCGGTTACTCCGTGTCCATCGCCACCTGGAAATAAACAAGAAATATATAAATACGAGCTAGACGAGCAATGGATGTTCGGTCTTTAGGAGCTACACTATTAGCTGCAGACATTTTTTATCCACAACGAGGATAAAAAAAAAACGAATTATTAGAATCGAGCCAAACTATCGGCCGACTAAAAGGCTTGGCGGGCGTTGATAGCTTTGAAGCTATCATGCGCAAAAAGTGCGCATCATTTCTGCACAGAAAGCGCGGGATTGTATACTGATCGGCCACATGCTCAGCAGGACGAAGTCTGTTTTAGAAATAAGATACTAACATAGCCTACGTTTTTACTAACATATGGATCCCTGTTATCTGAAATAAATACTTTTTATTTTTATTTATTTATTTATTATAAAAGTCTGTAGGCTGAAAATTTCGACTGGTTCAATCAGCGTATAATTTTAGGTAGCTCAGATGGAAGAGCAGTCGCCCGGCAAGCGAAAGGTCATGGGTTCGATTCCCGCCTTAGGTAGTTCGATTTTTTCAAGTTATTTATAATTTATGTATCTTTTATTAAATTATCTTAACCATGCACACTTAATTAACATTATTAGATGAAACGGTAATCTACATTCGTTTATTTGTTTAGACTATCTACCAGTGCTTCGGAGATAAACATTTGACAAAGAGAGCCGTGTAGTAGATACAAATTAAGATGACCTTGTCGACATAACCAATTTATTACACTTGCATTGTAACTGGGGATTTCCCTATATTTGTCCTGGACAATAGTCGGATCATTTCTAGGTGCAGCACCAAGAATAAAGCTGAGGCCACAGTTCTGTGCCACAAGAATAACATTAATTCAACAATAAAAGTCGAAAAAGTTAACACGAGATGTATCAATTAAAATATAATAAACACGAAAAGTCACAAGACGTTGGAATATACAATACACTGGAACATTAAAAGATTTGCTAACTCCAGAAAACGGCCGATGCGTTTTATTTCATAAATATTTTAAAACCGATTACAAACAATTTCTCTCCTCCGATTAAGAAATTATACAAACGACAATCGTCAAAAATATTTAACAAGACAAACTTCAATATCAATTATAAGAAAAACATCGAGCACTCTCACTCAACCGATAAGCTTGTGAACGCTTCTTATTGACATCGTCACATAATCTTTTATCGAGTAATTGGACGAGGTCAAAGGTCAGACTGCTATTGACACAATATACGACGCTATCGCAGTCGTAACGAGACGCCGGCGCACGCGCACGCTCCGCCATGGAGCTATACTTCTTACTGTTCCTCGCCGGGACTGCAGTCAACGCATTGAACCTAGACTACCTAGACCCAGTCAAGTTACAAACGAAAGCATCACCCGCCATACAAGAGCGCATAGTTTTAGGCGTCCTATCCAAATACATCAAAAACGTAAACGTCGAAATCAACCCATTGCTGTTCAGCGACCATAAAGATACGGTCTCTTTGCGCACCTCTGAAGGGCAACTATGCATCAGAGCCAGCTCAGGCACCGCCGCAATGTGGGGGTTCAATCACTACCTGAAGAAGTACTGCAATAGTCAGATAGCTTGGCAAGTTCAGCGAGTGTCCATCCCATCGCCGCTCCCCGAAGTAAACGAGACAATAGTAGCCAGTGACAGGTTCCGCTATTACCAGAACGTGTGCACTGTTTCGTATAGCTTCGTGTGGTGGGACATGCGGGACTGGAGGAGGCATGTCGAATGGATGGCGTTTAACGGAATAAACTTGGCTCTTGCACCGATCGCACAGGAGGCAGCGTGGGCGAAGATTTACCGGCAACTGGGCATGAGTCAAGAGGAAATTGATCAGCATTTCACGGGGCCAGCGTTTCTTTCCTGGCTTAGAATGGGAAACGTGCGCGGATGGGGCGGGCCTCTTGGTCAGGCGTGGCATGACAGGCAAAGGAGGATCCAGGGCCAAGTTTCGGACTACATGTTACAATTTGGAATAGTGCCAGTGTTTCCATCGTTCAACGGACACGTGCCGGTAGCATTTAGGCGTTTGTACCCCAATGCTACTTTTCACTCTGTAACCCCATGGAATAAGTTCAGGGAGGAATACTGCTGTGGTCTATTTTTAGACCCAAGTGAAGAAAATCTATTCGAACAAGTGGGAGGCATGTTTATGAGAGAAATAACATCCAAATCAGTTTCAGGAAGTATTTACACGGCGGATCCTTTCAACGAAATTAGGTTAATAGAGTGGAACGATAACTTTGTTCAAAATACAGCAAGAAGAATATTTTCGGTAATGACGAGCTATGACAAAGACGCCGTGTGGTTGGTTCAGAATTGGATGTTTGTGCACGATCCCATTTTGTGGCCTAAGAGCCGTGTGAAATCGTTCCTTACTTCAGTGCCAAACGGCAGAATGCTGGTGCTTGATCTACAATCGGAGCAGTGGCCTCAGTATTTCCTATACGAAATGTACTTCGGGCAACCATTCATTTGGTGTATGTTACACAACTTCGGAGGTACACTCGGAATGTTTGGAAGCATTCCCAGTATCAACAGAGATGTATATGCAGTAAGAAATCGAGTTAATAGCACAATGCTCGGAATCGGATTGACTCCAGAAGGTATCAATCAGAACTACGTGGTGTACGATTTCATGTTAGAAACGGGTTGGCGGAAAGATCCGGTTGAAGATTTGAATCAGTGGGTGACTGATTATGCGGCAAGACGATATGGATGTTACAACGCCACCAAAGCTTGGAAATCCTTATTGAAGAGCGTGTATAGTTTTGACGGCCTCAACCGTATGAGAGGCAAATACGTAGTCACTAAAAGACCCAGCTTACGACTCAAGCCCTGGGCGTGGTACAAAAGTAAAGATCTATTCGACGCATTCAGAGAGTTCGTTTTCATTGAGGATTCCAATTGTTTCTCTCCTGGATTCTATCACGACCTGGTGGACGTTACGAGACAAGCATTGCAATACCGGGCTGAACAGCTGTATATTAACATGGTGGACAACTTGAGCTATAACACATGGTCGTTTAACTCTTCAATTATCGAGTTCCTCGACGTTATGAACGACATGGAGACTATACTGGCCTCGAATGAAGATTTTAAAATCGGTAATTGGTTGCGCAATGCACGGGCGGTGGGTAAGACACATCGAGAGAAGTACATTTACGAATTGAATGCACGGAATCAGATAACGTTGTGGGGACCGAATGGGGAGATATCGGATTACGCTTGCAAGCAATGGGCGGAGGTTTTCCACTACTATTACAGGCCGAGGTGGGCCAAGTTTTTGTCAGCTGCCTTGGACGCCGCTATTAAAAAAGAAACGATACACGAGCCGACGATACAGAGGATCATAAAAACAACAGTCGAGGAACAATTTCAGTACATTGAAATAGACAATTTGCCTCAACCCGATACCAGAGATACAGCTTTGAATTTGTATACAAAATGGGCGTATGTTCCGGAGCTTCTTGATCTACCTTTGGCAGCAATAACACCGAAAAATCGGAGGCGAACCACTTTGGCAGATATTGTTGAGGACGACGATGTGGTTAACGAGCAGCCTACGGTGACAATGATTTTTCCAACTACTCCAGTGTAACAGTACAATATAATGTACAACTTTTCTATGATATTATTGTATTGTACTCCAAATAAATATTACTAATGAAATATATTTGAGGATCAAGTTTTAAGTTGTTATTTTTCATTTTAGAGCTTTGAATCTATTATTGTGATTAGGATAACAATAATTAAGTACTTATTTCAAGATTATAGCACTTAGCCTAAAATCTACGAGTATTATTTAAATTGAATCGAGTTTCAACAACTAAAATACTAGATATTGTTTTAAACTTTCATGGTCACTAACATATAATTACAGTTACTCCATGACCTTGCAACAGTGCCGAAATACCATCGGAAACTCAAAATTAACCCTTTACCTACGGGCCCTTGGAAACCCAAAGTCGCCTCTCAATACGGGGTATTTTAACCTATAAAATTGTTTGCTCCACTTTACATCAAGATATTTTAAAAAGTATGAGACTTACGGTATTGAAATTTGGAATATTATATTCTGCAACTAATGTAGTTTCATAATTACAAGCGCATTTTACGCTTAATTTGCAATTTTATTGTTTTTTTTTTGTCGTAAACCGTGATTTAGTATTGGCTTTGCCAAAATAACAATAGATACCACCCGTATTGAGAAGTGACTTTTGACCTATAGTTGCCATAGGTGCCTCCCGTAGGTAAGAGGTTAAGGTACATAGTAGAAACCCCGTCAGTAATAATAATTAAAATACTAGAATATGCTGAACTTCGAATATTAAATACGAGTATCGTGTAGTGTTACTATAAATATTATTTATTATTGAAATAGGCCTAAGCCCTCACCGCATACCTTACTTTGCTTGCAGCTTCAATAAAACTTTAATTCAATGAAAGGCCTGGACCTCTTCAGTTTGCAGTTTAAAGACTAAAGCCTGAGCCTCATTTTGGCTGAACCAGCTTCATATTTCACTCAGTCTAGCTGAAGCAGCTTCAGCTTCAGTGAAGTTCAAAGACTAAGGCCTGAGCTTCAGTCTGTCTAAAGCAGCTTCAACTGAAGCTTAAAGACTGAGACCTGAGCTTCAATCTGGCTGAAGCACAAAGACTAAGGCTTGAGCTTCACTCCGGGTGAAGCACCGTAACGGCTTGAGCTTCACCCCGGGTGAAGCATAACGACTAAGGTCTGCGCGCCTCAGTCTGGCTGAAGCAGCTTCAGTTTTAGTGGGGCTTAGAGACTACTTACCGCGACTTGCGGGTCCAGCTCGTCGTCGGCTCCCGTTCGTCCCGTGAAGCTTGCCTCAGTCTGGCTGCACCTGCTTCAGTTTTAGTGGAGCTTAGAGACTACTCACCGCGACCTGCGGGTCCCGCGGGTCCCGCTCGTCCCCCGGCGCCTGGTCGGGCGCGGCCGCGTCCCCGGTGGCGCTGCCGCCCCCGCGCCGCTCCTCACCCTCCACCAGAGACAGGAACCGCCCTAGCTCGGCCTCGTCGGGTGTGAGCCTTAGTCCGGCTGCAGCTTGATGACTAAGGCAGTCTAAAGCAGCCTCAGTCTGTCTAAAGAAGCCTCAGTCTGTCTAAAGCAGCCTCAGTGTGTCTAAAGCAGCCTCAGTCTATCTAAAGCAGCCTCAGTCTCTCTAAAGCAGCCTCAGTCTCTCTAAAGCAGCCTCAGTCTGTCTAAAGCAGCCTCAGTCTGTCTAAAGCAGCTTCAACTGAAGCTTCAATCTGGCTGTAGCAACTTAAAGACTACAGCTTGAGCCTCAGTCCGGGTGGAGCATCCTAAAGGCTTGGGCCTTACTCCGGGTGAAGCATAAAGACTAAGGTTTGAGCCTCAGTCTGTCTAAAGCAGCTTCAGCTTCAGCGAAGCTTAGACACTAAGGTTTGGTGGCGCGCCGAAACTTTAAAGACTAAAACCTGCCCCTGTCTGTCTACATCATAGAGACTAAGCCTTCACCTAGCTAGCCTCAGTCTGGCTGCACCTGCTTCAGTTTTAGTGAAGCTTAGAGACTACTCACCGCGACCTGCGGGTCCCGCGGGTCCCGCTCGTCCCCCGGCGCGTGGTCGGGCGCGGCCGCGTCCCCGGTGGCGCTGCCGCCCCCGCGCCGCTCCTCACCCTCCACCAGAGCTAAGAACGGCCCTAGCTCGGCCTCGTCTTAGTCCGACTTGAAGACTAAGGCTGGAGCTTCAGTCTGATTGAAGCAGCTTAAGGACTAAGGCAGAGACTCAGTCCGGGTGAAGCATACAGACTAAAGTTTGAGCCTCGGTCCGGGTGAAGCATAAAGACTAAGGTTTGAGCCTCACTCCGGGTGAAGCATAAAGACTAAAGAGTCTTTATGCTCAAGCTTTTGAGCCTCACCCCGGGTGAAGCTTAAAAATTAAGATTTGAGCTTCAGTCTGTTTAAAGAAACTTCAGCTTCAGTGAAGCTTAGACACTAAGGTTTGAGCCTCTTTCCAGCCGAAGCCTAAAGACTAAGGTCTACCCCTGTCTGTCTACAACATGACTACTCACCGCGACCTGCGGGTCCCGCGGGTCCCGCTCGTCCCCCGGCGCGTGGTCGGGCGCGGCCGCGTCCCCGGTGGCGCTGCCGCCCCCGCGCCGCTCCTCGCCCTCCACCAGAGCTAAGAACCGCCCTAGTTCAGCTTCGTCGGCTATGCGCAGAGGGGTCTTAGGGCCCACGATCGCGATTGACACGTTCTGGAATGGAAAACAATAGATTAATCTTCGGGCCGTTTTCTGACTTGTCGGCGCGGCAGCGACACGACATCAGCATGTTCGGCATACGCCTATATTTCAATGGAGCGTTCCTGATTAGCGCTGCAGCGGCGCGGAACAGACTCAGGACGCGGAACGCTGAATTATAAGCACTCAGTAAGCTTTCGGCACTGAATGCCGAGCGTGCTGATGTCGATTGCAAACACATTGCACGTCACAGTCAGAAAATGTTTACAATTTTTTTTATGCATGACAAGGCAGGTATTGACATGACATTGATATGACAATACTGGAGAGACAAGAGAAAAGCAAGTAAACATTAAAATAAGTGTATCAATACACTAATATTTTACTGCATTAATCATTCTACCTACACTGAATTAAGCCCCCAGGTGGGATAAGAGCATTACAAGCCAGGATCACCATTATCACCGGCATGACGCGACTATCGCAAAACTAGCCTGGCAGTACCAAACATTTTGCTGGCTTTGGTGTGCAGAAAGCTTTACTAATTTCTGTACAATCACAGCTGGCGACTGGATATGCACACCACATCATTTTAAAGACGCTTTTAATAAGCCTGAATTAATTGCAGAAAATAAATACCTTGTTATTCAAATCAACTTCATTAGGCAGTGTATCCCTCAAGGCTCTCAGACCGTGAGCGACCAGCTCCTGCAGATCGCAGTCCTGGAACGAAGCGAGGTGCTTCTCTAGGTAGGTCCGGGCAGACTGGGAGCGGGCACCGATGGCCATGGCTCGGCAGTCGAAGTAGTTGGCTGATGGGCACGTCTGGTAGATGTGAGGGCCTTGATCCTGAAATTTTGATGGTTGAATATTAAATATTTTAGAATTTGGAAATTTATAAAGAGTGATTCAAATCTAGACACTGAACTGGAAGTAATTTCACTTTACAATAAAAAAAGTTTATGCATATCCCATAATATCCCTCCCTATAGTCATACGGTAGACAGCTTGTTGTTCATGTTAGCATGGCTCAATAATAGTATGCACTATTGCCTAAGTTTAATAGCACAGGCTATGTGTTATTAAATGTAAATTAATTCATGGAATTTCACTTTTTACTACAATTTATTAATGTCTAGAAAACAATTCATAAACTGAAGCAAGCTATAAGATTCCTACACGAAATAAGAATTTTCTACCCTTTTTTATGCATAGATAAGTAAGTCACTTACTTATATCCAAAGTAGCACACTTGAATAAAAAGTATCACAAAGTAAGTAAAAAAAATACACAAATAATGCTCACATCGTAACCTGCGACAAGCAATCCCACGCCAAGGGGCCTCTTGTCGTACCTCTGGGTGCAAATCTGCATCTTGTTGCCGACCAGGCCGATCAAGCGACCAACGGGCATCGGAGCATCATGAGCGTACTTATGGTTCAGGCACTCCGTGCGCATGAAACGGCTGTAAATTGAAAACAAATACAATTAAATATTATTAATGGATTGTGTATAAATAAAGCTACTGTACTGTTTTTATTTTTTAAGTTCACATCTATAGTAATATTATAAATGCGAAAGTAAGTCTGTCTGTCTGTCTTGCTTTCACACCTAAACCACTGAACGGATTTTGATTAAATTTAGCATAGAAATAGAGTTCCGAGAAAGGACATAGGATAGTTTTTATCCCGGTTTTTGAAGCAGGGACGCACGCGATAAAGTTTTTATGTGACAGACAAATTTCAACGCAGGCGAAGCCGCGGGCGGAAATCTAGTGTATTATAATTCTGAATAATTCATGCTGTTTGTTTCCTAAATAAGAAAAAAGCTACTTTTGTTTGTCTCTACAACATGGTCAACATGCTTCATTGAATTAGTTCCACCATATTATGTGATTTGTATTTCTTTTTGATGGTTATTTTAGGAATATACCTACATAATTAATTTTAGTAAATGTAACTTTGAATATGGTTGGTATTACATGTTATTAAAGTCACCTGATAATTTTAAATAAATATAAATTGGTTTAAACTTTGAAGATAGACTGCAAAAGAAAAAGCCCAAGGGAAAACTAAAATTACAAACCTCAACATCCTAGCGTCAGCAGTCAGCCCAGAAATGGAAATGCCAATATGATCATCAATAGGAATAATCTTCTTCTGGTACGCAGACAGCTCACTGACCGCCCGTTTCAGAGCGATCAGCACCGCAAACTGTTTGTTCTTCAAGCCGATGGTCGCGGAGCCCAGCTTCACCGCTTCCATGGCGTACTCGACCTGGTGGAGCCGGCCCTGGGGGCTCCACACTGTGACGTCACTGTCATACTGGTTTCTAAACTGTAATAACGGAAAAAAAGTTGTTAATTTATTATGATTTACAAAATTATGAGATAGAAATATGTTTGTCAGATTCGTTGTTTTGGTACTGCTACACAACATAACTGATTCTAAGCGTAGTTTTTTAATGGGAACAAACAATACTGTCGAGTATCATTGTAGGTTATAATTTTGAACAAAACTTTAATGCAACCGTTTTACGGTTCCCAAGTTTGTGAAATCATGAAATATATGCATAAAATTAATGAATGTATACTTTTAACTCGCTTTTTAATTGATTCGTTAGCTAAACAAGGAAATAAAGCGTCCGGCTACTACAATGACATAGCAAATTCATCTAATGAATTTAGTACGTAAGGGATTTACTTATAACAATAAACATTTAGATAATGCAAAAAAGGGTTAACTTACCATGGTTATTTAGTAATATTTCTACAGTAAGCTCGTTGAGAAAATAGAAATTAATTTTTTTCTTGCGGGACGCGATGACTATGAAAATGTCAAACGTAAACGATTTTGACGTTGACATTTTACTTTTTATTATTGTCAATACGACAGTATGTAGTTTCGTTTATACAGTCATCGTAATTATTTTCTTTGAAATATGAAAATACATAATGAAAATTGACAAAAAAACAAAATTTTAAGATATTTTTTAAGCATACATAGTTGTGTATGTAAAAGCAAACATGGATTACTAAGCACCTTCTAGTGTGAAATGAACCGTATCGACAAGAGCGGGAAAACAGATGAAGTTTTAAAAAACTTTACGGTAGGATTATACGAGTAGTATCCACAGAAGTGGAGCTGCTCAAAGTTTAGCTGAGATACACTGGTACATACACCTCTTTCTTAGGTACAACACCGTGTATGTACCTAACCCTTCATTTGGCAAGACACAAATTGTTTGATTTTTTCAATAAAATCTATTTAGACCTAATTGTTACTATCAAATAAAGTTAAGAAAAATAGTAAAAAAAATATTTGGTTGGTATTTTCGCGAAAAACGATTGTTGCTTATTTACCACATTGCCAAATAGGGGTACTTAAATAAAACATTGAGATATATTATAGAATTATTTTTTTTATATGAAAATCTTAAAAAAATCAATCGTATTTCACATTTTATGCATTAAACTTTTTTTTGGCCATTTTCGCAAAGTCAACAATGACCTTTTTCTCCAACATTTGATAGATGACGTATGTCATCATACTTCACGATCAATATGCCGAGCCAAGGTTGGCTTTATATTTTCTCTTTAGCTTCTGAAACTGGTATGTTACCGTTATCTGCTATAGTTGTTGACTTCAACGCAAGAAAAATGTGTTTATCATTTAAATCAGTTCAGCGGTATAAGTGTGAAGACAGACAACACAGAGACAGACAGCAAATTCCTCCTCTCTCCTAATATGCTGTGCCCGACAGGGTCCATAATTGCATCAAAAGTAATTACTATACCATCTCTATAACATAATTCATGTAATACATGATTGATTTATTGTGTATTGACACTCTTTTGTATTAACAAAAAGCTAAACCTATTTTGTTAGCTGTTTGGCACTGTTGCTTCTAGGCAACATCGAGGTTCGGAAGCATGTCATGTATTAGAAAACACAGTTTCTACGCCAAATATTGCTTTATATGATTAGTTTGATTTATTATGAATGAAATTTAGACAAAACAAAAACAATTAGAGATGATAAAATAGTACAAAATCATAAAACTTCCGTCTTCGTTATTCTCATTGCGCGTCATCTTGGCGTCTGACAGAAATATGGATATGAAATCACTCAAAACTCAGTCGACGACCGATTTACTAGTGTTTTGCTGAACTAAGCTTTGTAACAAAATCGAATGATTTGCACAAAACTTATTATTTGGTGCTGTAGAAATATTCAAAGTGGTTGTTGCTTAAAAGCATCACTGCCAAATGAAGGGCTAAGAAAGAGGTATCTTAGATCTATTTGACATCAATCATACATAAATACCTAATTATTCGATATCTCAACTATTTTAAACAGATACTTCAATTTAGTTTTAAAAACTTAACTAATTTTCAATTACCTGTAAATGAAGATTTTTGGTTCCATTGTAATGGATAAGGCTCGTTTTATCAGCTATTAAAAAGTATGTCAATTGATTGGGGGTTTTAACATGTAGCTACTTACTCGTATTTGGCGCCATATTCTTTCCTTCTAGAACCTAGTCCTAGACTCCTAGAAGATAGAGCTCAAAGTTGCAAGCGGGCTATCTAGAGGACTATGCTCGCGCTCTTTACGAGATCGAATTTTATTATTTTCTGCCAAATATAGACTTTTAAAAGGCGCATAAAATACCCAATAAATAAACTTTTTTATGACAGTAAGTAAATTATAGATTCAAATCACAACATGATTACCTCAAATGTGCATGTACCTACCTACACAGGCTACATACTTGGGTACGTGCCTAGCTCACCTACAGTGGTCAACGTAGTAAACTGCTGACCGTAGAAATATTTCACTCTAATATAATGCGACAGATACGACACATATTGTGTGTTCTTTGAGACTGTCAGCCATTTTGAAAAATGGTAAGGCGTGTAGCGCATCCGAAACTAAGTTTTCTTTTTCACAAAAACAAGTTAAGTATTTTTTACTTGCCTTTTTCCTTTCACTTTACTCTTTTCACTGGGTTTTACAGTACCTATTGTGTATGAAGAATAGTACCTATTTTATAGACCTCTCAGATCAGAAATAAGGTAGGTAAGGCTTTAGGCACAACTTTAGGTAGGTATCTACTTTTTTACTTCAACTGAATGTCAGTAAGTTATATCTTTTATCATTAAAAAAGTGTTATTGACCAAGAACATCAGTCAAACTACTTTTGACAAAAGTGGTTTTGACCGATGCGATGAGTTTTCTGTAACATAATACCTACCTACAGGCTATTTGGCAACAAAAATGTATAGTCCGATGTGCTGTCGACTGTGCCTTAAATTATTATAAATGCAAAAATAAATCTTAGACCTATACTTTTAAGATTTTTTTTTGTGTTTTATTTCGATTTCCGCAACAAGCGAATTTTTTATTGAGCAATAATAACTTTTGTTTTATTTTGGGAGGATGAAAATCTTAGCTGCTTACCTCTTTGTATCTACCTAGACTATTATTGCCTCAGTTCTGAGAACAATGGAGCTAAGATGGCAGATTTCTCGGTTGCAGCGACACTTTCCAGCTATTGTTCTACAAAACCCATCGCAAGACAGGCCTGTAGGTATAGCAACAAGATGTGCTTTTAGTTACAAATTATTTGTCTGGGCCTGTTAACACTAGAAAGACCAAGGCAGTCAAATTGGCGGCAAAGCAATTTCATTGTTAAATATTTCACAAACTATGTTTTTGTTTCTTTTCATATTTTATGACTTTTCCTAATTTGCTTTTGTTAAGCTAAATCTTTATGAAAAAGAAAATAACAATATGTAGTATATGAGTTTCGATGACAAATACCTACTAAGACCGCGCACCGTCAATGTGACGGCATACATATAAAGGCGGCGATAAGAATAGTAAACAACGATCTTCAAACTAATGTGGGTACTTTTGTTTTTATTTATGTTGAATTGAATTCTGAGTAAGTTATTACTGCCTAGCTTGTTTACATTTTACAGTAGACATTGGTTTCGTTCGGTGAGCAGTCGTGGTTATGTGGTTTCGAAACTAGTACAACCCTATTTCCAAAAGGGCTGAAACGTAACCACTGACAAGTTTTTCACGTCTCTAAATTTGGCTAAAAAACGAATGGTCGAAAAGACTAGTATTGTTGGAACAATGCGGCGTGCAAGAAGAGAAGTACCACCGATTTGTAGAGGTATTCGTACTATAAGATATGAAACTTTCATAATGAAAACCGAGACCTATACTAAAATGTTCGTCACCTTCGTGGCATCACCTTCGTGGTGTTTTATACACGAAGGTGATTTTAGGCCACGAAAGTGATTTCTTGCTTTGGTTTATTTTAAAATATAGTGACTGGTGTTCATGTTTTTATAATATTTTAATAACTGGATTATAAACTAAACTAAATTATACGTGGTGCCTAAGTAGAGTTCAGTACATCAATAAAAAATAAGGGCCTCGTATTTTTGTTGTCTGTCTGTATGACTGTATGTATGTCTGTATATGTGACTGTGTATCTGTTTGTAAGATAAATTTAATCTGAAGTTTGAGTTAAAAGTTGTACAACAAAAATACGAGGCCCGCTGGCCTAAATAAAAAATATATTTTTGTTGAGGGACTGATAATCAGTTAGAGTTCTTTTTTTATTGAGGTACTGATAATCCGTTTTTTGCTTCTTTAGCATTTCAGAATGCCACCAGGGTCACCCTTAAAACCAATTGCGTAGAATCTTGTAACTTAGTAGGTGACGTTATAACCCTTACTACCTATCAAGGAAAACCAGTAAAAATTGTTATTATTTTGAGTACTCTACACCCCAACGTAAGCATAGGTACTGATAAAAAAAAGCTGCCTGAAACAGTTGAATTTTATAATGCAACAAAATTTGGTGTAGATATCATCGATCAAATGGCACGCAAATACACGGTAAGAGCTGGAAGTCGAAGATGGCCTGTTCACGTTTTTTTACAATATACTTGATTTAGCAGCTATAAACTCGTGGTTCTATATCAAAAAGTCACAGGAATAAAAATTTCTCGTCATTATTTTATCCTTCAACTAGTGAGTGAACTAGGTACGTGAAGAGTATGTGTGAAAAAAATCCACTTCAACTGCGACTCGGAGACAATAAACTAATTCTGAAACAAGTGAACCATGTACTACAAACAATAAGAGGCGGCAATGTCAAATCAATAGTAATTGTAAAAAAAAATGAAACATGAAAACTGCACTATCTGTAAAAAAGATGTTTGTGGAAAATGTACAAAAGAGTCTAAAAAAACTATCACTTGTTACAAATGTTACTAACTTTAATGCTAAATTGTTTACTAATATTAAAAATAATTATGTGTTATTTTTATTTATTTTTTTTTATTTAAAATCTGTAATAATTTCATAAGTATTCTCACTTAATCTCTAGTACCGTCAAATTGACCGCTGCGGTCTTTGAAGGTATAGCATGCAGCCCGGCCCTTCTAGTGTTAAAACGTTAGGTTTTTACCATAAATGACTGCTATGAAAACAAAAAACCTGCTATGTTACCATAGGGATCACTTACAAATTAGGGATTGATGGTAAAAACGGGCTTAAGGTTACTTACTTACCTAAAATAAGAAAAAAATACCAAAGCTGCAAAGTATTGAAAGAAATATTTTTACAAGCTTTACGAGTATAAGTGACTTCACTTGTTATTTTCGTGTTTGTTTCTTAAAACACCATCAACATGTTGTAAGTGCGTTTTCTTTTAAGAGCCTGCAATTTTGAATCTATAAAGAGACAAATAATGTTACTATTTAACTTTTTGCTTTTTAAATCTCTCTCAAAAATAAAACATTCTAATGTTCGTAAATAAA